ATAATTTTATTGGACAAGCTTATTCAAGTAAAACAAATTATGAATTAGCATTAAAAAATTATGAAACGGCGCTAGAATTACAACTAAAATATAATCCAGACAACCTCGATTTATTATCAACATGTTAGACATCATTCACAAAGGATGTCCACATTTAGAGACGGAGGGTAGATAACGGTATTTGCTACAATATTACCGCTACCATCGTCATCAGCACAACAATTTTCAATGACAAATTTATTTGACTTTTATTATCAATTTGGTGGCGCTTGAAAAACTATCAAGTTCTCTTAATCTTGAATTTTACCTCTGTATGCATACAGGTACTTTATCACTAGGATCTTGTTTACAGGCGTACCCATGGGGAAATTTTATCGACTTTTCACGCGTGAGGGACCGTGAAATGTCAGCTTGGACTTTCATGAAATTTTGTAGGTAAAGACAGCAAGTTTCACGCAACTTCATCTATAACTTTTTCCACGTGTGACCACTAGTTTCTAAAATATCACATTTTACATATCACCGGAAAGTAAGAGTCGAACCAGGGTACTTTGAATTAGAAATCTACGATACTCCTATTGAGCAAATTTGCCTAAGAAACTACTGAATAAATCTCATATTCATAGTTGTTGAATCAATCCTCACGAGTTCCCACGTGTAAAAAAGTTCCCACGCGTGATTACTCGTGAACTTCCTAAATCTTTTTTCTTAGTTTCCAATTTTTCCAAACTTTTTACTTAATACTTCCTCCCGCAGAACAAGATGATTCCCAGGCATATTTCTACAGCAAATACCTTCGATCTACAGCAAAGGTTTTTATCTGTATGTACGTACAACTTTCGGACGATATAGGAGAAATTTGTATTTATGCTTGCCGCTCAATCTTTACGACATTTCGCACCTGTAAAAGGTTTCTCATGTGGACGCGCGTGAAACGTAAGAATTTTGTTGCTTGGAGTTAAGCGTGAATATTATTCACGAAAAACTGACGTGTGAATAAATGTGAAGATGAAATTAGTGGGAAACATTTTTACGCGTGTTCGCAAGTGATATTTTTTTACGGAAATTTTAACATGAGAAATTTACGTGTGGCTACTACACACTTCACAACTTCCACCTGTGATCACGTGCAAAAAATATGACGCGAAACGTTTTCGTGACCAGTTCACCCGTTGTCATAAGTGGGATATATTTTTCCCGCGTGCTCACACACCATTTTACGATGTTCACGTGCGACCACAATTCATTTCACGATATTCATGCGCGTACACACCGCGGTGCCTACTAAAATTTCCCCATGGGTAGTGTCGAGAAACACAATTTATCCATTTTTCTGTGTTTTAGACCTATTTTACCCAATTCGATCTGATCCAAAATTCAACTTTTCAAAACTTTTATATTTGAAGTAACTCGAAAGAATCCTTCAACTAACATGCATCCACGAAACGAAAAGTTTTAAAAGTTGTGTGTGCAAAAGTAGATTTTCGAGAGTTTTGAAGAATATTTGAAGAAACTTCTACTACTACAGTATGAACCGCGAGAAAGAAGATTTTCTTGTAATACTAACAGAAAATTATGAAAAAATTCAAAAATTTCATCGTGATGCCCGACGAAGACTTGTTTAGCTTCTGACACGCACTGCTTCGAAAATACAGTTTTTCATTTGATCTATCAAGAACCAGTTTCTGTCTCGGAGAGATAGTTAAATCGTTTGTTCGGTATGATATAGACAAAGTTTCTTTTAAACTTTTATTATCACGAAGTCAGCTTTAAGACGAAGAAAATTACTACTACTAGGACTCACAGAGTAGCGCCAAGTTTCACAATTCCGTGGAAATTGTAATCGGCTCTCACTTCCACGCTGCAGCGTCATCTCACCCCTTAATCAGATTCAGATCAGATTCTGGTAATTCTTCAATTCTGGTACTACTAGAACCTAATCCGAATATAACCTAGGTATGCACCGGTATCGGTATACCGAATACCGAAAATACCGATCGGTATGTACCGATACCGAAAATACCGTGACACGACATTACCGCGAATACAAAAAACGACATTACAGTGAACGACGTTACCGCGAAGACTCGTTTATTGGAAAAGAAGAATAAATGAGCCTGGTTTTGTACTTTGTATATCATGTGGAGG